GCAGGACAGATGAGCCACCACAGAGAGGGACCAGCGTAGCCTGGCCCTTGTGCTCAGCCTGGCCCTTGTGCTTGGCCTTTTCTTAGGCTTGGCTTTTGGCCATGAGGTACGGACCTGGGGCAGGAATTCTGGGGGGTTTTTTGTTCCAGAAAAATGGAAAATTAAATATTTATTGACCCCAAATATTGAGGTTTGTCTTGAACAAAAAAAGCACCAAAGTTTATAGAAGCCAAGTCTCCAAAACTCCAAACCAAATTTTGCCCCTGAATCATGGTTTTCAATTGTTCAAGTCCCTTAGAATCTTTTTTGTTTTCTTTCAAGTTTAAACCAATAGATGCTTCTGTTAAGAATATTATTTTTGGTAAACAGACAACAAAAAAGGAAGGTTTTTTTTTTCTCCCATCCCCTTTCTTTCCATAGGGATAAATGAAAACTTCTCAAGTTTTACATCAAAATTAATTTGGGGGAGAAAATCTTGACTGGTTGTAGTGGGAAAAAAAAACTTCCCTACAAAGGTGAAAAATAGTTTGCAAGGTTCTTTCTTTAGGAATTTTTCCCTGATGTTCCCCAGTTTGGTAAATGCTTTACCTATACGTTTTGTGAAGAAATGGTTTTGCCTGGACCTTGCTGCACGATTTCCTACAAATACATTAGTGACTCAAAGAGTTAGTTCTCAGGAAGAATTTATTTGCTTTGGTTATCTGCTTCCTGCGTCTTGAAGAAATGGAATAGCTCAGGAAGGGTGTTTAATTGTGGCTCCTTTGACCCCAGGCTGTCATTGCCCGGTGTCCTGGGCCGGTTTTTGCGTGGCTGCTGATCCTGTAGCTGAGCAGCATGGTGCCCCGACTCCTGCACGTGTGCTAGTTGTGGTTACAAGCCACAGGGTCGACCCTCCGGGTCTCCTGTTTCGTTCTTGTTGCTGTTCTCCATCACACGTTCCTTCTCGGAGAGGTGGCATCCCATGAAGGAAGTCTCCCAGGAGGAAAGGATTTCCCCCTGCTCCCCCTAGCTGTAGTCGCCTCATCCTAATGTACAGAGCCCTCATGTGAGTGATGTGATTCACCTTCTGGTGGCGAAGCCTTCCCATCACACAGAGTAACTGTGGTGGGAGGGTCTCTCAAGCTTCTTCTGAGGGTCTCCATCTGGGAGTTTGGAGCATGGATGGATTCAGATAGGGATGCGCTGAAGGTGGGAATGGGCCCGACTGCTGTGGTACTCATGCAGCTTTCAGCCAAGGAAGTCCACAAATGTTTGGTTGTTAGTAAGTGATAGGGTATTTCAGGGCCATGCTAAAAGCACCATCAGCAGGTCATGTATCATCGAAGCATCCCCCAGAGGCTATGGCTGGCTTCGAGGCTGGAGGATGCTTTGGACTGCTCACTGCAGCAGTCCTTGGGAGAGGAACCGGAGAGGTCCTCGCTCCCAAGGCCCCCACCCCCTCTTCTTCCTTGCACATCCCAGAGGTGGCTGAGATACAGATGACTCTGCTTCACGGCTAAGGGGAGGGCTCTGCAAACAGGGATGCTCCAAACGCAGCTCTCCCCAGTGCAGCTATCTAGGCTGCTTTTTCACTTAAGATAGGGCAAAACCACTGGTTTCTCAGCATGGCCACATTAAAGAACATGAACATCCCACCAGTTACACCCATACCACATGCGGTTTAGCAGAAGATTGCTTTGTTTTGGGGCAAGCAAATGCATGTTTTTCTAACCCACGTGGTTGCAAAGAGCAGCTTGGAGATGTGGCCTGGGTACCACTGATGCAACACCTGCCTGGGTGCACAGGGTGCTTGAAACTAGCTCTCTGAGGTGCAACGGCAGCCCTGTTCCTCTGCGATGAAGCAAGTTCACCCATGCTGTAAAGCGATTTGTGCGTGCGACATTTCTAAAGGAGGCTGCAGCTCTAGTGCAAAATGGTTCAGGGGCTGGAGGTAAAAGAGCAGTTGAAATTGCTCTGCGTACTCAATTAGGATGAACTGATGCAGAAGGCAGCAGATGCTGGCAAAACTTACACATACTTAGTAAATGTGATTTATTCCCTCCTCATCACCTCATTTTAAAGAGAGACCCAGACTGCATTTGTTTGGTAGCCGTCTTTTATTATCATCTTCCACCTTTTTATAAAAGATCTGGGGCAGGAAGAGTACCCTGAGTGATAAAGCATATGTGGGAATCGGAGTCTGTCTGTTTTGGCTTTCCTTATTCAATGGTAAAACACAGTTTGTTTCCTGCCTGTGTGCTCCTGCCCGCCTCCATCCTGCTGTTTTATCTGTCTGTCAAAATTAGTTTGACATCTGGGTCCTAACCCGGTGAAGTTAAGAGCAATTTGAATGGTCCCGTCAGCTTTAAAGTAAATACTCACCAGCTGGAGTCTCAGCCAGCCCACAGCCTGAGATGGGGCCAGGGCTTCTCCCACCGTGTGTAAAATGACGCAAGATGAGGGCCTCGGACTATTAACACTTCACACAGTTGGGTCTTCATACCCTGTTGTCCAGATGAGATGTCTCTTCCTTTGCTAGATGTGATCTTAGGTGCAGGCAGCTCCAGACCCAGCCACACTGTTGGGTTTTCATTTCCAACTCCTTTTCTGATGTTTAGACCAATAAAAAAAGGAGAAAGTGAGTAATAAGCGAGGGCTGTTTGATATGACTGAATGAGAAAAGCTGTTCCTCCTTCGCACCCCATAACCCTTTTCCCTCTCAAACCCATTCTTGCTAGATCAGAATACATTAAAATCCTTGCATCGACATGAAAATCTCACCAGCTGATGTCTGCAGAGCTGAAGGTTTCCATCTCCCCCAGGGGGGTATTTTTCTTTGTGCATCCCGGAGTGATCTTTCGTGACTCCCTTCTTGGGCATCTGTCCTGCCGTGCTCTCCAGTGACTGGAAAAGTCAGATCCTCTGACTGAAATTAACTGGCTGCATTCAGATACTCGCTCAATTTAAGTGCACGTTCTGGGAGAAATATGAATCTTCCATCCTTTTTCCCTCAGCTCTCCCAAGGTGAATTAATGGTCCCCGCCGTGCCCTTGATTTGCTTTTCTCCTTCTGTGGAGGAAGGCACCTTTCTCTAAGGCTGCATTTCACACTTTCTCACCTGCTTTCTGTCCTCCAGCTAGCATCTACATTTCTGTTGTTATCCCCATTTGGCAGAAGGGAAACTGAGGCAGTTCACCCCAACACCAGCTTGTCTGTGGCAGATCAGGACTGGACCTGACACGGCTCTGTTAGACCCACGCTTCCCTGCCTGAGCCCTGAAGGGAGCAGAAGAAGAGCCACAAATGTCAGCAGGAAAAATAAAGTGACAATAAAAACACATACAGACACAAACAGGGGAATGAGTGATGGTGGGAAATAACCTGGTTGGTGAATTTTTACTTGGACTGTAGAATAAAACCACAAGGAAATGCTTAAAGGAAAGGGCTAAAGAATCTTCTCCAAATGCTGGGTGGCTTTTAAGTTTAAAAAGGAAAGGAGGAGGATGATACAACCTGGTCGAGATCACCTACTTGCTTCTGTGGAAAAAGGCTTTTGTCTCGCTCTGCTATTGGAAATACTTTCAACCAAATTACAAAGTTGAAAGCTGTGATTTTTACTCTGCTGCGGGATATGGGGAGGGATCTGCCACTGCTTTAATGGCGTAGATGTTTCCATCTGTCTTCTCAGGACATGGACATCTAGCTACATATAAAGCTGTGATCTGGCTATAAAAGTCCCCCCCAGCTTGTCCAGCCCACCCTGATGCAGCGGCTCCCTTACCTGCTCCAGGCCAGGCTCTCCATGGGCGGGCATCTATCTGGCTTAGAGGTGATGCTCAGCAGCAATGGGTGAGGACGGTGTGAAAGCCCATGGCTTTTTTGGTGCAAATAAAGCAGCCAGCAACCCCCCAGCTCTGGTATCAGCATATGCCATGGATGGGGGGCTGTGGTTCTGCCCAGCCAGCTCTGGAGCGCAGGATGAGGTTTTCCTGAAGAGGTTTTCCCTGAAACCCAGCAGGGCTTTCCGAGTCCAGTGTCTTCCTTCAGCTTCAGCCATGGGCTCAGCCCCTCTGCAGTGATAGAGAGACCCCCGCTTCCCCCGTCTGCCCCCGAAATGCCATCCCTGTCCCGCATCCCTTGCCCACCCCGCGGGAGGTATCTGCGGGCAGCCCCGAGCTCTGCAGCCCATTTTCCTTTCTCCCAGGGGGAAAAAAAAAAACCTTTCCCCAGGATTTCCTTACCCAGGAGGTCACACCAGGCTGCAAAGTAACTAAACCGAGGGGCTAAAAAAAAGCTAAACCGAGGGTTTGGTTTCGGGAAGAACCCCCCGGTTGTTGCCGCCACTGCGTCCCGGGGCCGCCTCTGAGCACTTTACACGGGGGAAAAAAGAACAAAATCCAAGTGGTGCGGGGGTCCCGGCGGGAGGTTACCGGCTCTGCTGCTGGGGGCTGGCTGCGGCACCAAACTCGCCTTGGTCTGGTCGTCGGGACTCGTTTTGTTTAGTTCTTGTCCTGGGAGGAAACACCAGTTAAAAAGAAAGCAAAGCGCCATGGAGAATGGCCCGACTCGCCCGAGAGCGGAGCCGGCCGCCGCGCCGGCACCCGGGACCCCCGGGGGAGGGGCCCCCAGGACGA